CGCCATTGTTAATGATTCACCATTGCGATAATCAGTTCGGCCTGCCGTAGTGTCTTCTATTATCACTGCGTTTTGCAGGTGGGGTGGAGAGAAACAATCTGAAACGTTATGGCATTATGGTTTAACTGATGATTTTTCGTCCCACTAAAACCGAAAATAGCTTTCATAACTTGTGCAAGCAAATATGCTGTCAGTTTAAGTGATTAGTTTTTGGGGACAGCATTAAACTATCATTTGTGTTTCTGTTTTTATCAATGGAAACACCAAGCAGAAACTGAAGAAATCACGTTTCGTTAAGTTAGAGTCATTGCATGATATTTGGGATACTATTCAACAATGACACGTGCTAAATATGTGTGAGTTTATATAATTCTCAAATAACCTTTGCATGCATTTTTTCTTGTTAAGTGAGAGAAAATTCCATTTAATGCATGACGGATATTTTCTGTATTAGAGTTTAGTTCTTTTTTCTTTATATTTTTTCAAGCTAATGTGATTTATAGAATGCCATTAATATATTATTTTAAAACAGTCCTGGTTGGAGTTCATTCGCAAGTTAATTGATCGACTGCAATATCAGATTAAGTTAAAGAAATGTATAAGGCAAGAAATGGCTGATCATGATTATTAGGATGGGAGTAATGCCTTTGTTTGTTCGCAATCAAGCACAAAGTGCCCATAAATGATATCAGTTTGGAAATAGTGGGACTTTTCTTCTGAATCGATTACGCAACTAAGCCGTAAGTGTACATAGAATTTCCTGTGTTACGAATTAGAGTTGTTGATCAACGTAGTCTGGATGAACCTGCTAAATCACAAATGACTAAATATTCGGATGAATGAAAGGAGTAGCATTTGTGGTATGCGTACCGGCGTATACGAATAGACGTTTTCGTAGGATCGATTGGGACGCCGTTAAATTGGGTTGGCTGTAAGTCTAAATGTGTCAAAGAACGTTACTGTATTATAGAACTTGAATATACACGAATCACTGCAACTTATTCTTATAACCACGTACATTTATACCCTGTACACCGACGGCATAACTCTTAAAACTTGATTATCATACGAACAAATTTTTCACATAATTAATGCTGCAATTAATGCCTGCCCAAATCTCGCCCCATCTTTTCATCAATTGACTGCTTTGAATGTTTTGCGGACTTAATAGAACACTTTGTTCAGTTTTAAAACTGAGACCTTTGTTTAAGTCATTAAACTGTGGGATGTTTTATTTAACGCAAGTCATTCGATGTTGCAGGAGAATGCCCATGTTTCCGTTATTGGTTGAACAAAGGTAGAACCTGGGAGGGTTTACCGCTGTAAAAGGATTTCGAGTAGAAAAATTCCATAATTTTTCGTTAAGTTTAGTTTCGCAAATTATAATTTTTTTGGACAAATTTCAGTAACCAGTGCCCAATATTTATGTTTTGATGTTAGTTACTTCTATAATTTGCAATCGTTGACTAAAGGCACAATCTTACTTCTAATGAATAATTTTGGAGATTATGGCCTTTTCTGATATCAAGCAGAAAAATGATAAATAATATTTGATTAAGTTTTGGAGCAACCTTTCTAGTTTTTTTTTAAATTTAGCAAGTCGTGTGCATTTGCTTACGAAGCCGAAACGGGTCGTCAGTGGATGTGTGAATGAATCTTGTGCTCAGGTTGTTTGGTGTTAATGTTTCACACTTACTTTTCAACCGTCAAGGGATTAGCACGCCCGCGTCCCCTTATATGATGACACAGTTGACTGGCTTGACGCGAATAAATTGCCATCTTCATTCCCGAGTCATTGGTCTTTTAGCACGCGGAGTTATTGGCCTATGTGCCCAGCATTTAGAAAATTTATTACGGTCAAATAAAGGAAACAAAACAAATCGAGCTTAGGAGCGCAGCCTTACTTCTAATCCGGAGCTTAAAGTCAATCAGGATATCACGAAAAATCATTTAAAACCTAAGAGAACAATAACATTCACTCAAAGGTATTGAGCACGAGGGACACGGTGCATTAAATTTAGAAATTCTCATTATGCACCATCCTTATTAAACAGTTGAGGCCCAATATCACGCGAAGTACCCAAAGAAGGAATCAGTTCAGAGATGACTAAGCATGACCATTAACTCGATGGCTCAACAAAGTTGTGCTGTGGCGTGTGCATGACTCATGTCGTCTTGTTGACCGACACAGTTGAGTGAACTAGTAAAAAATGCAAACGTTTGAATGGCCAGATGGATAAAGCGGGTAGTGTTGGTACATGCAGAGGGTAATTGAGCAGGTGGTCCTATGTGACTGACGGGCACGCTGTGAAAGGAGAGACGTGTGTGTGAGGCTGCAAAGACCTGATTATTGGACGTGAATCATCACGATTCACACAAAACAATTTTCACCTCTAACCAGCGACCATACATCTAAAGCCACACACTCCTTTCGATACATCAGAAAGCAAAAATTATTTAGCGTCGACGTTTCCTAGTACCAGATATAAATTCCAATGAATTGCGTAAATAGACCCTGTCCCCGCATTCTTCGGCACACCGAACCCATCAGTCAGGCGGACACATCTATTAACACACCCATGCACACACCCCTTGCTACTATAACCACGCATTCTGACGCTCCAATGATCAACTATCCTCATTTGACATTTCCCTCCAAGGCATGTTTGAGACATATAAGAACTCATGCACCACTAAACACAACTTGGCTGCACCAGGTAACAAACGTTTGAGTCTCTCATGTCTCTGTTTTTCTTTGAATTGTATATGTCCACAACATACAAAAATCGACATTTACTTCAGCTACTGAAAACCAATCACTAAAGTGAATGGCAAACACAACAGAATTTCAATTTATGCAAAAAACGAAAATATTCAAATAGCATCTGAAGGAGCAAGGTATTTCGACAGCTGATGTGATTAAACACAGGAAACTGACAGGTAACGATTGGGGTTTCATATCTGGCAGTTAGAACTGAAAATTAAAATGAGTCAAGTGCCATATTACGTCAAATGGACGAAAAAAGTTGTGATAGCAACCCAGAATTTCAAGCTGTTATTACAACCAAGTGCAGTGGTTTCATGAGATGCAGGAACCCCGAAGGCCGAACTTAAAGTCTACTTTGCACTTAACAAAAGAGGATAATTTTTAATCGTTCCGCCCAACTGTTCTTTGACTTATAATTATCACTTCATGACAGTTAAAACTTCTGAACACTACGCGCGAACGAGAGCCAGCTACACGTGTGGTTCCGCAGGTGTAAAAAGAATGCGACATTAGGCCACGAAATGGAGTCGCAATAATCTGCTCAAAAGTCATGAAGCTGCGAATAAACAACCAAGATAAAAAGCGTGTGTTAATATGTGGCAGCTTCCGAGATCGGACAGTCATGACATTAAGCATTTCTCATAGCTGAATAACGTTGAATAAAAAAAACGTGAACATTAAAGAAAAGTTTGGAGAAATGGTCAATTGACTTATTCTCTGAGCTTGCACATGGTCTGAGAAAAACTATTTGCAGCGCAACCTCCAAAACAAATAACAAAGGCAAAGATTGTTAGAAAACTTTACATCAATAAAAACATCTAATACATCACGAATCTTCAGTAAAACGAATATCCAAGGGCCCGTGGAGCAATTGAAAATACCACAAGCTTGCGACACAAAATGTGGAAAATCGTTAATAGAAATGATTGAAAAGGAGGCAAAAGATTACACGAAAGTAAAGCGTTCAGAGGGGGAATCAGGAACATCAGACTGTTCGTCATCTCCATCTTCGTAATCAGGGACCCCGCGAAAACTATTGATAAGCGCCTTTTCCAGAATAACTTTTCCTTCCTTATACTGTTGATCCGATTCCTCAGCAAACTCATAGGCCCAGCCCAACCTCGTGTGGCAGGTCACACAGAAGACATCACGAACACGATGCCAGCCTGTGGTCATCTTACGAGGCTAAAATCAAAAAATGACTACAAAAAGCACCAAAAAAGCAAACGGTCTGATCTGTGATAATAAGGTCAACAGAAAGCGAAAGTGAGACAAAATCCCATGATTTAATTATGATGTAGAGACGAAACGGAACTTATTTCGCATAGAATATGGAACCATACAAGTCTCCTACTGCTTACGTTAAAAAAGAATACATACATACACCCGAAAAATATTAGAAGCAGAAAATATTACATTGGAGATATCTGCTAAGTAATCACACTAAACATGAATTAGTACACAGAGAAGCCGACACGGAATCGATAAAAAAAAATAATCAAAAACGAGCTATTTACTATCAAATTAGACCAATTTTGTGAATTAGCCCGCGAACTGAAAACCTACCTCAAGCGCGCTAAAGAAAATATTTACGACTTTCCTAAACAACATTGCAGATCCAGTAGCACCCTGAAAGTTTGCACTTATGAGTTCGTCCGCATTGGTTAGTGGAGTATGACACTTACATTCAACCACAATACGTCCACCAAGATGCTCTATGAACAATATACCCATCAGGATCCACAAACCACCAGAAAATTATCCCGTTGTGAGTGAACAGGCTCCGTGAAAGGAGTTTGTTTCAAAACCTCAGCCAATCAGCTGTCAGAAGATGTTTTAATAGTTCGTGCCAAACAACGTGCCAGCTTCGATGATAAGGACAAACAGGCATAAATTAAACAATGGACCCAGACAGGTTAAATATTATTTTACAGCAGGTATTTCAGATGACAAGGCAAAAAAAATTACAATGATGACATAAGATTGTGATGTGACAAAAAATATCGTTTCTCATCTCTTTTTCATTATCGGTCAAGGGCGTTCTTGAGCTTAAAAATAGAGCCTGCCTACGTCAGAGCTCGAATACATTACACGAGCCAAACCCTGTATATTGACCGAAGACTGAAGGGATAGGATATTAGAACAAAAAGTGCAAAATTGCCTTCACGAAACGGGGCATAATTTGTATTATAAGAAGCTCCATTCCTACATATGACAGGAAATCGCATTAGTAAGCAAAAGCTAGAGATTTGGATTTATTCCTGCATTATTTTACTTCTAACAAATAGCAACCTTTGACTAACAAGCACTATGTATAAGATCAGCTATGGATATTGTGAATATTTAAATTAATTAGTTATCGTTGGTATTTGATCATAACCTAACTTGCGGACATGAAATTTTAAAACATAAGTTTCTTTAATTTTTTCGTTTCTTTTTCTACATATACATCTATAACTATACTTATTTCTCGGATTTTCTGAGGCAAATTAAGAGTTCTAAATATAACATTGCAAAAACCTTGGTTTCCTAATAATTTTTTCCTAAGCTAAATGCTTACGAATCGGTGATTTAATATGCAACTTTGGCAAATTATGACCATGCAAATTAGCTTAGCCATAAAAATGTAGGTTGCTCTTTTTTGCTGTCAGCTTTCAACTATGCGTTCAAATGATTATTCTGTTTTTGATGTTTTAAAATTCGAAAAAAATTTAGTAGCAATAAAACACACACTTATCAGACTCAAACATGATATCATTAAATATTGTCCATCTCTAAAAGGCTGATTAGAAAATGTACAGGCCATTAGGTATCGTAACCTCTGCAGGTTGAAATTAATTTTTAAGTTGGATGGACTGGCCCCCACTGTTACAGCGTAACTTAGTAGAATAAGACCTCTAAAACTGATAAAAGCATTAAGTTTTACCAGATAGACAAAAAATCTGCGCATATGCAGTCAGGAAATAAAATTTATGAGTATGATATTTCTGATAAAGACCGTATATTCAATTGCAAATTTATTATCCAATTCGCCACGTCTGCATCGTTTAGAGTTGAGAGGTCATAAAGACAAACTAAGTCTTCTTTAAGATATTCAAATATTATGCAACTTCTCCTAAATTTGGAATTCTACATTAATATTATAGCGGCTGCTACATATTCTGCTGTAGATGCGTTAAGCATGAAAGTACGAATTATTTACAGTTAATGATCGCAGATACCTTCCCGTTGTCACATAAAGGTAAGTAATTTTTATTGTTATTAAATAGATTTTTAAGTTTGGGTAATGGCTTTAGGAGGAACATATGTTTTTGCTTTTAAATTGTATGACCTTGAGGTTCAAAGTTGTTTAAATCCTTTTCAGGTGTGGCACTGTTTTGCCACACTAGTCTTCGCACGTTTTTTCGCATCGCGCCAATGGCCGAACCTGGTCTTAATGCTAAGATTCTAAAACAAGTTGAGGTAACGTTTGTCTAGTTGGATTAGTATTTTAGTATTATTTTGGGGATATTAACTTATCAAAGGATACTTTCATGAAGAAAATACTGGAAGAGAGCAATGGATGTATGTTGATTTAAAAATTTAATGATTCTCTTCAGGGTTGCCCTTTGATATTTTGCTAAAATTTAAGCGTCTTAATCAGCTATCCAGTGATCTCAATACCATCAAAAATGCCCTTGCAGATTCTTCATTGGTTGAAGTTGGTGAACTGGGTGTTCGACGGGTTCCGTCAAACCCTCCACCAGGAAACCTGTCAGAGGCCCTCTCAATCCACTCTGACAGAGCTCTTTACGTAAAAGGATTCCCTACGGACTTGGGCCTTGATGAGATAATTGCATGGATTGAAACTATGGCTGGCGAAACTTACGATGTATTCTGCAGACGTCTACCTAACAAGAAATTTAAGGTAACATTTTATTTTTACCTACTTATTTAAATTACCATTAGGGCAGTATATATGTCACGTTTAAGACAAAGGAGGCGGCTGAAAAATTCATGACCGACGCATGTTGCAGTGAATACAAAGGGAAACCCCTCCTTCGGAAGTGGTAGTAAGTGGAAACTTTTTTTCTGTGCTCTAGTTACCCTACTAGTGGTTCGCGGTTAATATGCTGTACATTTTACATAATTTCGTAACTTATCCTTAGTTCCCTGCTTGGTAGTCAAGTAGTTCGTTTGCTCTTCTTTCTGTAGACAGTTATTCGTTCTGTTTGCAATTGAATCCAATTATGCCTTTGCGATGCTTTGACATTATTAGAATTAAAAATCATTTCCATTATGACGATTTTTTTCTTTTTTAAAGTACCGCATACATAGAGGAAAAGAAAAATGAAAAACAGGCAAAAGCAGAAGAGAAAATCAAAAAGGCAGATCGTAAAAAAGCCCAGATTGTTTCACAGATGACTCCATGCGCCCTTCTTGAAATTTCCGGTCTGCCAGTGTCTTGTAAGCGGTACTTTGTAGTCTTTTAAGCTGTTTCCGATTGCCTTGATATCTTTGGAAGTCTAAATGTGTCATCTCTCTGCTGCAAATTTATTTCGTAATTTGTTAATAATCTACTAGTGCTTTTTGTAAGTATTATGAACGCAGTGCATAGAAAAAGCTTTGGTCTAGTATTGTGTTATCCTTTTGTTCAATCCGCTAGAACCGTTTTCGCTTCAAATCCTATTCACTTAAACAACATTCGATACTTGTTTTATCTGCCGTGCTTGTTCTGCTTCAATCCAGCTGTCTTTAATTACCTCAGTTCCTATGTCCCATCGATTGACACTTTGGTTTTTCATTATTTGTGAAAAATTTCAGCATCAGCTGTAGAACCTCGGTCATCCGGCGACTCCGTAGTTAGTGAGAAAGAGCAGAAAGAGGCTAGTGAAAAAGGCACTGAAGACGCTGGAAATCATGGGGACTGTGGTGACGAGGTTCCTTCCCACGAGGAAAAAATCGATGGTGATAAGCGCACCGTCAGTTTACTAAAGGCGTGGATCAATGAAAAGGTGAACCTGTTGGTTGACTGCGTACTTTTAAGTCGGTGGTGACTTACTATTATTAGTAGGCTTGGTAGTTACAAAAGTTATTCTGAGATGTCCATCCACCATTTATGCCATTAATATGTTGTTTTTAAACAAATGTTCTGTGTTTTGTGAATAAGCAGCTATGACCGTTACGTGCCAATCGAGTCGACGCCTATTTGTTCACCGTGGCTTAACTAGTGTTTTTAATAATTCTTTGCCAATATTGCACAATAAGTTAGATTTGATTCTTGACTCGGTTTAACTTGCGCAGAATTTTAAATATACCATTTTACTCTTGTCAAGCTCGAATCAAGTGTTCCTATTGCATGGATTGACGTTGAGCCCTCAGCAAACAAGGCTATCATACGGTTCAAGGAGCCGAACTCCGCATCAGCTGCTTTGGAAAAGCTTACGAAGGCCTTTAAAGACGGTAAAATAATGTACAGTGGATCGCATATTACTGGCCGCGTCATTAAAGGTAGTCTGCCCTTTTTTTTATTTCGTTTAATTTTGGTGTTATTGTATTATGTTGTTAGTGTTTCCGGCTATCAGACAAACTAGACATTTTTCTTTATGCTGTGTTCTTAAAAACGTTGTTTTCCACAATAAAATTGTCATTGAACCTTGTCCATTGCATCGTAGGTGATGAAGAAATTAATTTCTGGAAAAATCTTCTGGTCGTTCTCAGCGCTAAAAAACGAAAAGGCGGCAAATCTGGTGTACGTCTCCTTGTCTTCCCTTTTTATATTTCTTCCTTTCATTCAAAAGCACTTAATGACCTCAATAGACATGCAATGTGTTTCAGACAGATGGGATCTTTGAGGCGCCAGTCAGCTGAAGACAAATGTATATTAGCTGAATTGAAAAGCTAAAGGCGTTTCCTGTCAAGTAGGCTAATGCTGTGCTATCTGCCTTGCGAGTCGTGATGTTTAGGAAGGCACGTCGGTTTAGCCAGCTATAAATTTCCAGTTTCTGATCTCCTAATCAAAGTTCTTAAAATTTATGCTATTACACAGGGAAAATCGGTGTGCATTGCCAGGAATCATTGATTGGTTCATTTACTGCTTGGCCTGTCAGTTTAAGTGGAAAATGCTTACCATTTTCATGCAGGGTTCTTACAGTTGGTGGTCGTTTTACAAATCTCCTTTAAAGTGTTATAACTACTTATTTTGCTTTCTGCATCAGATTCATGTGCTGCGTAATGTTAAGTTCTCATTCTTCCATTTGCATGGAGCCTTTTCCATTTCCTCGTGAGATTTTACTTTTTAATTAATAAATACAGTTAAATTTTAACTTTACTGAAGTTGGTTTTTAATGTGTAGGACACTAAACGATGATAGAACTGTGCATCGAGTAATTGTTTTTTTTTTCTGAAATTTTTAGGGCGGGAGATTCGTGAACAAACGTCGTCGCCACAACTAATGTAGATCAAGTTCATGGTCATGATGTTTACATTTTTTTAAACGCCCAATAAAAAACATTAAATTTATATGAAAGCCTTTTTATTTGCCCATATATTTGTTTTTTGGTTACTGTTGTGCTAATTGTGCACCAGAATTCTTTGGTCTGGTTGCTGAAAGTGGAGGAATCATTGGTATTGGGTTTTCCTTGTTATGTTCTTCACTTTTCTCTTAACAATTCAGAATGCGTGCTATAAACGCCATCATAAATTGTAATAGTGGCATTCGCTTTCTAGTTTGTGAGGGTTGTTTAATTTAGTTAATACACGCTTTTTATCTGCGTGAAGTTCGTATTAAAGCTATCATTGCCAGTTGACCTGCTATCTTCGCGCCGTGGTTTTTAATCCCTGCAACAGCGAGGGGCTTATCTCGTGTACCTTCTTTTGTATAGAGCTCCAATAACCGGCTTCGTCGTTTAAGGAATGCTCCCATTCGTCCTGACGACAACCAGTCGTTAGTCGATTTTTCAGCTTCATCCACGGCCTCATTTAGCAGGAAGCGGCGTGCTGGTCGCCGACAGGTGGATGTTTTCATCACTCAACGCGGTGACAACCGTAAGCGCCAACTTCAAGCCAATATCCGCGAAATTTACCATCGTATTCGAAGGCACCATCTGTTCGCCAAATGGAATCGAGTAGGGCAAATATATCGTGATAATGACGCCTTAATTGACGTCCAGTTAAATTCTGCAAAACAGCTCAATTGGAAAGTGAGGGCCAGATTGGACGGCGATGTATGCAGCAGCGCAAGTTCTTCCATTACACCACCGTTACTGGCTGCGCCGGTTGAAATACCACAGCTCTATAGCCAAATGGGTCGATTTGATGCAAAAATAAATGGAGTGATCGCCCGCGTTGGCGTCTCTATGATACCACCGGTAAGAGTGTATGTATGATATGTAACTTGCGTAGAAAGAATTCCGGTCATTGGAAATCTCAGCAAGTTGTAACTGATTCGAAGTTGATACTGTGGTAACAATTATGATGGAATAAAATGACAAAACAGACCAGCTTTGCTTTTTTATTCAAATTTAATAACGTCTTGGTGTCGTCCATACTGAGAATAACGGTGAAGGAAGCTTGAACGATTTAAATTACAATGTGTTGCATTTTCTGAATTGAGAGCTGTTTCGACAGCCGTTCGTAATTTTTATCGGAACAAAACATTATTAAATTGACATCGTCGAATTCTTCCTAATTCGATTTTTTTCCATGTCAGTTGATCTTACTCAAGTTTCGACTCATACTTTGTGACTTTTGCAATACAACGAATGAGCTCATAGGTCAGTTTTAATACTGAAGCTATTTTGTGAATGCAACCACCTATCTTTATTGTGCTTTTCTCACCTAGGTTGATCGCGTTCCCACAATGTGTAGTTGGGCGCCGGTTCAACAAAACTTTTCTGTGGAGGATGAAATTGAGCTGGCTAATTTGCCTTACATCGGGGATGACCAGGCTCAGGAAGACGTCTCTTTCCTAGAAGAACTGCTCAACAACTACGATGGTCGTCTTCACGGTAACTTCCCCTTTGACTTTGAAGAAGAGCTAACTGTGGAACTGGTCGATGCCGTTGCTTCTGATTGGGCAAATATTTCTGGCAAACAGGAGAGTTCCAGCATGGAAGCCCACATGGCTTCAGAAGGATCTGAAGAAACTCCCATTTCTACTCTGTCGCCGGCTTCAAAAAGACGGCGTATTGATGTCTCAAACAAGACTCCCAATGTAAGTTTTGAGATTTGTGTTGAGTGTTTCCTTAAGGTAAAAAGGCCACATTGCCAACTTGGCTGAAATTGTCGTTGGCGGATGTGTGTGGGAGGCATGTTTTCATAAAATTTGTTACTTGTATATGCATCACGAGCTCACATTGCATTTGTGGCGACTAGCAAGCCGGCACAGTTACAGCTTCCCTTTTCTAATGTAATTTAAAAAGGGAGGTTGTTGAAATCACAGCGATGCAATTTTCATGAAACTTCATTTTGTCGGTGAACTTCTGTAAAATTTATGTTGTCAGGGATAGTACTGTAAGTGTTCTAGAATTTAACAGAAAAAGATGTATGGAATTTAATTGTATTGTTCTACCTTTTCAACTATTGGAAAGAAAAGCCTCTGTTTTCAGCAGAGCCTCGTGAGCTCAGGATGAAGTGATTTTTTTTTCGCTGCTACGTAAGAAAAACCAGCGGGTCGTTTTTTGTAGTGATAATATGTTTATGTGACGTCCAGTAGGACTTTGGAAAGGGAAAATGTCTTACTGAATTCAGGCGTCACGATGCTGTATTTTGTTTCTAGGTTCAGTGAAACTTAACGATTGAGATTTTCTGGGTGAACGTTAATATTTCCTTTGTCGTTTGTTTTCCAGACATCGGAGACACGTGAAGAAAGTTCTGCATCTCAAAGTGAGCCTGGTCATGTAGTAGGAAAAGCAGGATTGAATGCTAAATTTCCGGGAGAACCGAAATTGTCGGTGTCTACTTCTCCACCTGCACCAAATACCCCTAAATGCCAGTCCAGTCCTTCGAAGAGCGTTTCTGCATTGACTCTCGCCCCCTCTCCTCTCTCTGAGGCAAACAAATCACGTCTTCTTGGTGACACGGGGGTTTCAGATGCCGTGTTTTTGGTTTGTTTTGCTTCTATTTAAAGCCATTTAATTTTTCATTGGAATTGACCTGCATTGGTGTATCCAAATTATTATTGACATCTATTCTGCCGGCCTCACGTTTCTTAGTGGACGTCAATAATGTGCACTAAATGACTAAAAACTAATTGGTGCATGCACTGTCGTTCTACGTAGCAAATTTAATTCCGTTGGTACTTTTTTGTCATAGCTGTCGTTTTGATTGTATCGACTTGAACTAGTGTTCGTCGACAAGAAATTTCAAGCACTGTCGCAATGTATTATTGGCGTTCCTAGTTTCTGCTTCATTGTTTTAGGCTATTGCCTCAACTTTTGGATCTTCTGAGGATTCCAACAAGTTGCAGATTCGCTACTGTGACATGAAAACTAGGCGAAGCGCTTCAAGCGTAAGTTTTACTTCGGTGAATCGTAGCCGATAATGGACTAGAACTGTTCGGAAACTTTACAGGGATCCAAAACAGCGTGGTGATAGGATTGGTAACCTCGTCAGCCAGATCCCTGCTTTAACCCAATTTTCTATCGTCTCTGTTATTGGAATAACGAGTGCAAGCTGCGTTATCATTGCGTCTGGGTGTAGTTATCTAAAATAATTGTGTTCCAATTGATTTTTCTCGACGATTTAACCTGGGTTGTAGATGTTATCCAAGGTCTTCAAATCGCTAGACTCTGAAGGTAAATTATACGAATATTGCATAATTACTCCCTTTTAACTCGCATCATTCTCTGCGCCAAATGTTTATATAGACTTCAGAATCCTCACCTTCGCTGCCTTGTTGTTTGATTCACGCAAATGTCCGTCTTTTCCGAATTGAACTATAGCCGCTCAATTCACTACATTTTCCTTATATTAACTTGCGTGTAGATTATTGAGACAGGAAGCCCATCATGTCCGAATTTAGACAACCCGGCCGAGGTGAAAGCAATGTGTGAACGAAATCAAAATAAGCCATCTCGCCATGACGCCTTGCATACCTTCCGTGCTCTCTTCTGTCGTCGTTGTTTCAAATATGACTGTGCCCTGCATCCGTATAAATCAACGCAGACTATGTGGAGTCACCGGTGGCCTGTCAAATCATGGGCAGGCTCAAGTACATTTGATTTTTTAATTATCGTATCAGGTTTGAATCTGTGCTTCAAAATTTTGCACCATTTGGCGACCCTAAGATTACCCCACACAGAAATACGAATTTGTGTTCCCTGTAAGAAATCTCCTACACTTAAGATACTTTTGCACCTAAATCCGTGTCTTTTGGTTAGTTCGGCTGAATTTAATGAAGTAAAAATATCACCTGCATTAAATAATGATTTGCACCGGAAAAAATTTATTGTCTAGTGGAATAGTTTAGGATAACTTGAGACAGTATTTTTATGTACTTGTTTCGCTACATGAATCTTATAAATGTTTTACTAAATATGAGTTTGCTAACGGTCTCCATCCTATGTCGAATCCAGCGGTTAATTGCACTAGCAGTTGATTTGCTTTCGTGCTTTAGATCTTCCAATCTGCAGTCCAGATTGTGTCCGCGCTTGCCGTGGCTCAGGTACAGCGTCATTAGCTCAGGAAGTGAAACAAGGGGAAGAGGATACTGATTGGGAAATTACGGAGCAAACTCTTTTTGAGGTGCTTGCGCCTCTCTATATCCCCTTCGGACAACCCAGTTTTTCCAATAATAACTGGTGTTGCGTCCTCGCTGATTTTATTAGTACCCGGACCTGCAGGGAGGTGAGTTTGTAGGGGAATGGTCATTAAAATGGTTCCGAGAGAAGCTGAAAACAATCCTCCAATCAAAGAAATCGACAGGGGAAGGCTAGCGGGTTAAAGTAGTTGGTGCTTACCGCCTTAATCATCTAGTGTTCCAGGTTGTCTAGTTATCAACCCCCTATATTTGGCTAACTTACGAAATGCCCTCTGTTAGCCTTACCAGTCGCATCTTCATTTTAGACGTGTTTTTATTCATTCACACAACCTAAAGGTGGTTTTAACTCACCATTCTAGATATATCGTCATTGCATGCGACAGATCTCAATTGATGCCGCTGCATTGTTTGGACCAGACACAGGACAGATATGTCTTGTCACTCAACGCAATAGCGAATTTCCTAGCTCCAACAACGGCAAGGGACCCATTGAAGGCGCTTTTGACACGGGAACAACCAATTCAGATGCGGATGTACAGCTATCAGATGGCGAGGGCTGTACTACGACAAATGGCGTGAATGGTGAATTGACAGGCCTCGTAATCGGAGGAAAGAAGAAAAAGAAGAAAGGAAAACGGTCCAGGTTTTCACAAATTAGACACCCACTGGCGTCGCGCCGCTCCGGTAAGTTTGGCTTCCTCCTCTGCAGTCGTTCTGCACGCACAACTATCGGCTGATCTGAAGCAGGGGGTCCGAAAGAAGACGTGATGAGTGAGGCTTTTTAATTTGCTGTTGTGTACTGCACTCGCCGTGAAGCATGGAGATTAAGTGAGGCACTTATAATTAGCAAAAATTCCCAAGTGCAACTGAAGTCTATTTCTTGTAATGTGTTTCGTGCAACTCCCTTAAATCTTCCGGGCTGCCTCAAATTTAATAGGTTAAAGAATCCTAAAATTAGTGTGAAATTTTCCTTCTTGGTAAGTGTTATAAACGCTGTAGAATTCCTAGAAACCCATTAAATTAAACAAGTTAGCTACACGCAAACAAATATCAGTCGGTAAGAAAGTGTTTTTGGTTTTCACAACTACCTTCTTCTTGGTTTATATATAAGCCATTTGCACATAAATTTTGCAGCTTTTAGGGTCGCTGATTTTCACCTTCTTTATGTCTGCAAGTGCAAAGGTACTCCTGAAGCTCACACGAGAATGCGTGAAGTTCACTGTGTTGATTGTCCAACCTAGCTCACTTGGCACAGTTTGTTGCAAACTTCCGTTCCGGGGATTTTTCACTCAGTGCTGACCAGCGCTCTGGTCGACCTACTGAAGTTAGCGATGATCTAATCAAAGCTACAATTTAGGCCGATGAAGTGTGCTTTAAACCGCAGAGCCGTTACATGTATCGTTTACAAAATAACAATTAAAATATTTTGAATTTATTAGGAAGCTCGATTTTGGGGTTTTTCAATTATCACTACGAAGTTACATTTGGCTTAAATAAATTTTTTGAAACAAATTATCAATGATAATGAAAAATGGATCGCCAGTAATTATGAAATTAAGTATTACCGTGAATTAGACCTCACCAGTCATCGAAACCACTTTGAAGACTAATCGCGTTACCAAAAACATCTATCAGCCTATATATGGTGCATGCTACACTATTAGTGGTTTGGCATTTCATTCATGTCGGCCCATTGGATTGCTCATTTCACGATGCCGAACCAACAGTGAGCCGTTTTTGCGTGTGTGCCTTGTTCAGGTCCTTTGGGTAATGGCCACGGCAACGAAGACGACGACTCCCAGTCCGGCCACATGGGACAGGCTGCGCACGGCAATGAGCTAGCGAGCGGGTGCTTTGCCCACCAATTCCATCCCTGCGACCACCCTGGTTCGCGTTGCGATGAGTTTTGCTCCTGCAGGCAGGCGGGGACGTTTTGTGAAAAATTTTGTCAGTGCCCCAGTGACTGCTCAAATAGGTGAGATGTCAGTAACTAATATTTTTCATCTTTCCGCCCTACCAGCTACCTAGGTTTCCTTTGCAGAAGTGGTTATTTATCAGTCACATTCCCTTTTTATATACATACTGTGGAAAAAATACGGCTCCTTCCATTACGCCTATCGTTCTCGAACTACTTCAAACCCTACAAAGTTAAATTAGTATTTATCAACAACATGGGGATTCTAATAATGCTCACAGCCTTCGCATACTATTCATGTCGCTATAGCTTCGGTCAGATTTTACCGGCGATGATAAAGTGTAAGGTTAATTCTAACCCACCTTTTCGTTGAATTTTTAATGATTATCCCGCTTGAGGCGAGTATTTTCTGTAAAAAAATATTAATTTTGTTTAACAGGCTATGTATCCTCCAAAAGTCGATGTAGCATTTAGGATGCTGTTGGTCTAACTCTTGAGATGCACCGTGTGATTTTCCCATTTCTGTTCTCCTTCTTACCGAGTATCCTCTTGGCGGATGCTACGATACGTGTTTCGTTTTAGGCGTCCATTCCGGCAATATCCCACCTTGGGACCTACTTTTTGATGTTTGTGATTAAGGTGTATCTCAATGTCATGTCTCATTCTGTGTACAACAGTGAAGTATGCAAACTCTATTCATTTATTGCCTTATTTGCGTTAGTAATTTTGCTTTTCTCCAAACTTTTATTAGATTTACCGGATGTCGCTGCCGTGGTCAGTGCAACTCGCGTTTGTGCCCTTGCGTGCTCGCGGTTCGTGAATGCGATCCAGATCTTTGCACGTCTTGTGGAGCGGGCGTACCTGGTCAACCTCTGCTACCACAAGAGGGTCCGAATCATTGCAACGTCGCAGGCGGTTGCTCAACTACGACGTCAACGACCTGTCGCAATGTAGCCATACAGAGGGGCTGGCGCAAACACTTGCTAATGGCACCTTCGGATGTCGCGGGGTAGAATTTTTCAAATCCACACCAGTGGTATCTTTTATATTTTAAATTATGTTTTACGTGCTAAAAACAGGATTTAGCCCTTCACTAGACAAGTGAGAAGTCTTATTTGACAGCAATTTATCCCCAAAATTTTCCACGTGTTTGTGATTCATACAAAGATGCCTAAACGTTAAGTCGGATGTTGTATTTACATATTATCTCAATTGTCAATCTTTCAGTTCAACGCAAAAATGTGTTACTGCTTGAAAATCAGATTTGACCACGTCCAGTTGTCACAGGCGGATCAGTTCCATTGTATTTTTCACTTATGTGTTTCTCTGTGTGTCGTGAAACGTGACCGTTGGTGATAATATTTGATTGGGAGGTACCCGTCTTGAGGATAAGATTTACACTTGACTGCGATTCCACTACGGCGACTGGGTCGGACTTGTATGAAAAGAGCTTCAGGTGTTTAAGGAAAGCAGTTTTAATAAATTTTGCAACAAATTCCCTTATTTAGTTGTATAATTATACCTTGGTGTCTGCAGATTTATGAACGATCGCGTGTTTACGCTTCTCCATTCCTTAATTTTGACGTACATGTGCTCATCACATTAAACATATGCAAGCCAAAGGTGGGATTGTTTTTCAGATCGTGTACACAAAACTACGTTTCCGAATATGGCTGTTCTCAATTTCACAATCATGTAACTTTCTTCCGCTGACATCACTGCAGCGTCCCTAAATTCAGTTTGGCTAAATCAAACATGCACTGGTCCGCATCAACTTGCTGACGAATGTGTTCTTTGTTTTAGGTGGGGCATTTTTATGAAAGAGGGTGCTGAAAAGAACGAGTTCATCTACGAGTACTGTGGGGAGATTATTAGTCAGGACGAGGCGGATCGACGAGGGAAGATTTATGATCGAACAATGAGCAGCTTCTTGTTTAATCTTAATCGGGATTTCGTTGTGGATGCCACACGTAAAGGTAACAAAATCCGGTTCGCCAATCATTCCGTCAGTCCTAATTGTTACGCTAAGGTAAGAACTTGACCTTCGTAGCTACAATCCAAACACCAGCTAAATTTGTCAAACTGGTGTTTGGTACTTTTTACTGGATTTTCACGTAAACATCGGATTTCATAACCTCTGTTAGAACATTATAGCTTTCAGAATTCACGGTTGTGATTGGTGTATTTAAATGTAGTTGTATCTCCGTCTGCTTTGGGCTCTATGTCATGCGTTAAAGTCAACAAACATCATGCTCTTCCTTTTACTTAATGGATTCTGATTCCACTAAAGTGCTGAATAATCCAGTGGAAAATTGATTGTATGGCCAATCACACTTTACGTTTGCTAGAATATTGTGATTGTCATTTTCAAGTTCGTAGCTTCCTTGGTTTTTTGTGAATTCTACATACATAGCCCTTTAATATTTGGACTTTCTTTAGGTTAGATTTCTGCTTTAAGTTGACATTCGACAAATGCAATGGCGTGGTGCTTTGGTCATATGGCTTTTCTACTGCCGTAGGTGATGATGGTCAACGGTGATCACCGGATAGGAATATTTGCTAAACGCGCCATTCAGCCAGGCGAGGAACTTTTCTTTGACTACCGGTACGGCCCAACTGAACAGCTGAAGTATGTTGGAATCGAGCGAGACGCCGAAATCGCCGTGGCCACACAGGCCGAGGCGGTGGCACTAATAAATGGTGGCATTAGTCCGGGTGCCATAACCGGGACTCCGGATTGCACTATTGGCTGTTAGCGCTTGGTGAGCACGCGCCTTTTAGGGCGTTTTACAAAAACCATGTCGTTTCGTCAATACCGTTTGCCATTTTTTGAGCTTTATCCAGACCTAGAGACGGGCGGCTTTGTAGTTTATAAATCACCAGGGCATGCCACGATGCCTACTGCAATTGGGCCAACAATTAAATTGCCTCACTGTATCGTGTTCTTAACGATGTCGCGAAGTTACTTAGCTTATTCCTCTCTTTTATAGATTTTAATGAAACCTAGCAATTGCTCCGTCAGATGATTCTCCCCTCCAACTTTTTAACGTCGTACCAACTTTGTAACTTGGTCACTAACGTAGGGCCACACTCCTAAGGGTATCAGTGGCTCACTGTTTAAATTCCTAAGTTTAGTCTTGCACCGGCGACAGTAAATTGTTGCCTATGTATTTGCATTTCACGCAATTTGAATTGTTTTGAGGAAAGTATGAGGGTTGGAGATTCGAAGTGTATATATTGAGCCTGCATGTCGCTTAGCCCAATCATCGAGCCCAAATCTTCAAAGTAGTTCTCATTACACGGTTGTATCCCGCGATGCTTTTCTAATTTTTGATGTGTTCATTTGCAACTATACTTATTTTTGTAGATCTCGAATCGTCCATAGATTTGGAAATCTACGCCTTCCAATTAAGCAGCAATGTTTAAATAAACCAATTTCATACTTGAACTAAATTCCTTCATATGTATTTCCCTTCCTTGTCGACCTGGAAACATGTTTTACATAAATGTGATGTAGCAACCTATGCCTATATATTGGAATGTTACGAAGAACGGAATTCAGGGATGCCTAGGAGCCGTTGTCACATAAGCGGTTGACCATGACAGTAATTAGGCATTTCCTGGCGATTGCCTGGCTGCAGTTAACTCCAACCAGCTCGGATGATTCGTGTGGCGAATTGTGGTGCTTCGATTTAGGAAAATTACTAGAGCCAGGTAGGTTGTATTTTGGAATGGGAAATCTGCAGCTGTTTAAACTGAGCTCACAATAATATACTTGAAAAAGTATTCAAGAACTTAGCGGGAGCTACTTCGCTAGAAGATTGTACGGGTGTTGAACACCAATTGGCCTGTCGAAGCACAGACCTATTTCTTATTAAACATTTATTTGTATTATTAATCGGACGTGTTACAAGTGCTCCAGTTCCTTATTCTGAAATGCTCAACCATTCAGCAAGCATTAATGGGGCACGAGGTCGGTGGGCCCAACGTATCAACCCTGAGTTGTCATTAGAAAGGAAGCGCAATATGTTGGAGTTAATGACGATTTCACATACGGGAGTAATAAAATATCGCACCTAAGACACCGTACATTGAAACGGAAACTCGTACTTTTTGATTGCCGTTTGTGCTAGCCAGGATTTTCAACCCGCTAAGTCTTGGAACGACTCAGTACCATGGAAAACCAACCAGCGTAAAAAATTACAAAAGTACGTTTATACAAATAGTATGCACACACCAATACAGGATTGCTTTTGAGTGATCATAAATCAAAGTAGTCTTAGAGGAGACGCCGAGGTACGCGAGGCATTATCTGTGGTGGCGCTAGGGAAATTCTTTTGCAGGGATGGGTCAACATCCATGGCTACGGTCCCGCCATTTTCGTCAGCTACTTGTTCGGAGAGATCAACATCCTCTTCGACGTCAGCCTCCTCAGACTCATCACCATCTTCATCCTCAGTTATATCTTCGTCCTCACCTAACTCCTCTTCTCCCGTGTCATCAGCATCATTTTCCGTTTCTTCGCAATCCTGCTCATCTTCGTCTTTCTCATTTTGATCGCCTCGAACTTCTAGCACATCTCCTTCGACATCATCTTCTTTTTGTTCAGGTTCAGGACATCCATCGAGCAAACCATCGCCCCAATCAATAGGAAATCTGGTAACTCGAGGGTCTGATGCAATGATCGTGCGTTCTAACTGAAAAAGACATTAAGGCAACACGTGGTGTTACTTCATCAAGCAAAGGTTCCGCAGGTGGTTCATTTCGAAGCTCTTCGGACCTATATTCGTTATTAACATAGTATCCTATGCGAATAAACTCTTGTTCGTGATAAAGGGCTTGTATTAGAACAACCGTAACTCCAACAAGATCTTCGGGAAGGATTTTCTTCGGGTCAGGAGAATCAACCTAATGGCATAACTGAGGAAAAACTAGTTTACCTCAAATACAAATTGGTGTCTACCAACTGGGACAGGACCAACCAAAATAGAATCCAATGTTTGATCCAAGGAAGAATTATAAGCACTTCCGACGTACACGACCTTCCATTCCAGGTCTAAATTGACAAC